CTCTCTCTCTCCCCTTTCCCTCTCCCCGCGCCAAGCAAATACTGTGACAAGTGAAACAATTGCAAGCAAACTGCATTCGAATGGTTGCTCATCCAACGTCGAAGTCCCTTAACCACGAGTATTTCCTTTCTCCACATGACACAAAAATACACACACACACACACACACACACACACACACACACATATATATATACATATACATATACATATACATAAACCTTTCTCTCTCTCTCTCTTTCTGTGTGTGTGTGTGTGTGTGTGTGTGTGTGTGTGTGTGTGTGTGTGTGTGTGTGTGTGTGTGTGTGTGTGTGTGTGTGTGTGTGTGTGTGTGTGTGTGTGTGTGTGTGTGTGTGGAGATATGTATATATACATAAATAAATAAATATATATATATATTATATAAAATAAAATGTTATTTGCCAAGGCACGCCCTCACGCCGCCCACCCTTCCTCCCGCGGCCAGGGAAGGCGTGGAACAAGCGCATGATCAAACGCCTGTATTGGCAGACAGTGCCCTGGGGGCAGGAGTCGCCCCCCCTCCCCGGGGGTGGGCTCCCTCCCCCTTGGGTAGGGGGGGCTGCCTGGGGGAGTCGCCCGGGGGAGGTGTCCGAGGGGAAGCGCCCCCTCACAAAACGGGCCTTCCGCTCCCTCTCCAGAAGGGTCAGACACACGCGACGGCCAAACGCAGATTTATTCGTCTCAGTTTGCCATCCTTTCTTTTTTTGTCTATTCCCGAAGCTCTTTGGTATTCTCTGCTTTAATAGTAGAATTGTCGCCTGCATAATCACTATTCTATTCTTATCATTATTATCTTTATTATCACTGTTATCATTATTGCTATTACTTACATTACTAACAGTATCAGTAGTGGTACTAGTATTCGTATTAGTACATGTATCTATTAGTGGTATTTTGAACAAATTTATTACTGTCAATACCATTCCTATTGTTATTATCGTCACTATTACTATTATCATTATCATCATCATCATCATCATCATCATCATCACTGTTATTACTGTTAGCATTAATATTAGTACTAGTATTATTACCATAATCATAATCACTATTATCATTACTATCGTCGTTATCATCATCGTTATAATTAGCATCAATACTGTTATCATTATCACTACAGACATGAACATCATTAGTGCTATCATTAACAGTACTGCCATAATTATTATCAATATTACCACTATCACTAACATAACCATAACCATTATCATTATCATTATCATTATCATTATTACACCTTCTCTTGCCACTATCATCCTCCCCTTCACCATCACCACCATTAGCCCAGCGCGTCCTGCCTGGCTCGCTCGGCCGCTTCCTAGTTTATCGGAAAAAAAACTCATTTCGAGTTTCAGCTTCAGCATTTCCGGAGCGAATTCTTTTGGTAAATATTTTGGCATTTCATTAAATGATGTAGATAATATACTGTCACAATCCCAGTGCCCTGAGGATAACCGTGTAGTGAAGATAAAACGGGCTAAGATATCCAGCAAACAAAATCTTCATCCACATGCTCCAACGCACGCACGCACGCACGCACGCACACACACACACACACACACACACACACACACACACACACACACACACACACACACACACACACCATATATATACATATATATATATATACACACATGAATACAGTGCATGTAGATATACATGTGTGTGTGTACCAATCGTCTCTCATGCAAGCCCCTTCCCTCGTCACTCGCAGTTTTTCTCGAAACAAAACCAAGGCGGCCACTTCGATCCCCCCCCCCCCCGGCAGCGTCAACGGCGGTAAAAGGCAAAGCATCCAGCAAAAGGAAAAATAGAGCCGTAAAAGCCCGACCGAGATTGTTGACGGCAAGAAACGCGGCTGCGGGAGCGGGCGGGGCGGGCGGCTGCGGCAAGAGCAAGGAGGATGCGGAAACGGGCGGCTGCGGCAGAGGCGGCGGAGGGCCGACGAATAAACGTGCTTCAAGTTTCCCCAAAGTTTTGCTTCTTGTGCTGTTTCGATATTGGTCGCCGAGACAAAGTTGCTGGAACGACCGTGGTTCCTCCCCCCCCCCTTCCCCGCGCCGCTCTCGCTTTCTTAATCTCCGCCTTTACCTCGGCCTCGAACCCTCTCCTACTCTTTCTCTTCCCCTCTCATCATCATCGGTGTCCTCCTCATCATCACGATGTTCAATCACTATCCTCACCACCCTCATCTGTTTACAATGTTTGTGATGATGGTGGCACTGTATGTAGTACACATGCGCGCGCGCGCGTACACACACACACACACACACACACGCTGGCCCGGTCCATACAAACGCCCATTCATAAATATCATATTCACATCAATATGTGCATGTTGGCGGCTGCTGTTGCGGAGTCGGAGGCTTCGATTGGTCGCTGGAAGTCTCCAAAATATTTTGGCGTCTCCTTCCATGGTACGCACATGTGCGCCCCCTCAGAGAGAGAGAGAGAGAGAGAGAGAGAGAGAGAGAGAGAGAGAGAGAGAGAGAGAGAGAGAGAGAGAGAGAGAGAGAGAGAGAGAGAGAGAGAGAGAGAGAGAGTCCACCGTG